AAAAAAAAAAAGCAGGAAAGTCATAGTTTAAGAACCACATCTGAGGAAAGGTGTCTACATTTTGACAATGTTAAAGATGGGGAGAAGCTACTCAGGTATATTGGAGGTGGAGAGTTTGAGATAGAGGAGCACAGAGAGGCCTTCGCCTTTACCAATCTGTATTAAAAACGTGATTCGGATCGTGGTAGAGCCTCTGCCACGGCGCTTGGGATAGACACGGGGACACGGTCCCCATGGGCTGAGGGAGAGCATCGGCTCCTCTGTAATAGGGGAACGGGATAATTTGTAAAGGAGTCAGGCAGGGCACGTCCCGGTTTCTTTGGTGGCTCCGTGTTATCTCCTCGGTCCCGACAACAGAAAAAGCGCTGCAAGAGGGAGGAAGGGTTGGCAGCGCCCTTCCGAGCTTTAGCAACGTGTCGGCAGCCCACGGACACGCGTGGGGGGGAGCCTGGGAGGCCCCTCCGTGGGCCGGGGGGGCGGCTGTGGCGAAGACGGACACTCCACCGGCACAGAGGGGTCATAAATAAAATCGGGGCRGCCCCCGGCAAGGGAAGGTCGGGGGCCGGGGAAGAGGCTATACGTCCCCGTCCACCAGGCTGAAGTGCTTGCCCGGCCCGGGGAGGCAGAGGTAGGGGATGGCATTCCCCGGGCAGAGCAGGGGAAAAGGCAGCGGCAGCAAGCAGCGACTGAGCAGGGGGCTGTCCTTGTAGAGGGACGGGAAGGAGAGAGCAGCGGCGGCAGCATGGGGCTGCGGCTCCCCRGGGGGCTCAGCCGGCCCCGGCCCCTGACCCTCGGGCTCGGACGACATTTGTCTTTTGAGCTTGTTGCGGCGGTTCTGGAACCAGATCTTCACCTGGGTCTCGGTGAGGTGCAGCGCGGCGGCCAGCCCGGCCCGCTCGGAGCTGCTCAGGTAGCGCTTCACATCGAARGTGGACTCCAGCTGGAACACCTGGCTCTTGGAGAAGATGGTCCGCGTCTTCTTCCTGCCGCCCGCCGCCGATGATCTGCCGTTCTCCGCGCCGCAGCCCCCGGCCTCTCTCGGCGGCGGCTGCCGGGGGACGCGCAGCCCCTCCGTGGGGAGCGGGGACCCAGCATCCCCGCCCTGGGGGCAGCGGCCGCTGCTCGCCCCTTCTGCCCGCAGCCGGCGGGACTCGCTGCCTGCAAGGGCAAAGCACAGCATCAGTCCCCGCCGCCGCCCGCGCCCCCGCCCCGCATGCACGCACGGCCCGGCGGAGCGCAGGGAAAGGGTGGGGGACAGGATGGGGAGGGGGCTGCGAGGGCTGGCCGCGGTCCCACAGCCTCCAGAGGGGAGAGGAAGGTAGAGGCGCTTCCAYAAGGATCCAAGGAAATCCCTCTGCCAGCTGTATGACAGGGAAGTGAGGCTCTCCTGGGCACGGGACAGCCCCAGGAGGCCGGGAGAGGGGCACAACACCCTGGAAGCAGGTTGGTGCGTGTGCGGCGGCATCTCCCCGCGTCCTCCCGCGGAGCCTCCCCTCCTCCTGCGTGTGCGTGTCTGTGTCTGCCGTGTGCGTGTCTGTGTGTGTTTGTG